TTTTCCTGGTGGGGGTGGGGCATTTTCTCCCTCGGATCTGTCAATGCCAATTTAGTCCAGATTTGGCCCCGTATCATCACGGACTTTAACGAAATATACGTAAATCCCCACTCAGAAAATGAGTGCATATCGTGCACTTGATTAGAAACTAAGAAATGCAATCTCTTATACGACTATTGTAACATAACAGTTGCGGTATAATGAATACACCATGTAACAGAAAATTGTCCAAATCGTGTAACATCATGGGATGATTATCCATCCCACAAAATGTTTAATATCTAAATAAAAAAAAGCACTAAACTAATTGAGGTTCTTTTTTTCAAGGTTTTCAGATAAGACGTTTAGCCATCTTGACACCACTTGTAAGAATCACCAAAAAAACCCTTTGAATTAATTATTCAGCTAGAAACAGAACAGGTTAAAAACATTTTCTGTCAGCTCCACTGTCTTCCGTAATGAGCAATGTTGAGCGGATAATGATCATGCAGGCCTTCAATAATGGTGCAAACATTTATTAGATGGCTTTCAACTTCAAAGTCCACTAAGAGAACGGTGAATAAGTTTTAAAAAGTGGGAGAAGTAGAGAAGAAAACTAGATTAGGTGATCACAAGAGCAAGTGGGATCATCACTTCAACTAAGAGTTAGATACATTCTTATTGTTTAAAATAGAGTCCAATAGTGTATAAAATCCTCGGAGAATTCCAGTAAGATATCTTTAATCGTTTTTAAGATACAACGGTTCAAATCTTAATATAACAATTGAACAATTTTGCTATTACATATTTTGAATTTCAGCTATCTCAAAGACAGTAATTATCGTGTTAACACCAAAAACGAATTTAAAATAAAAAAAAAACAAACAAACAAATGCAACTACCATCAACGAAACACAGCCTGGTCGCATGAAGATCCGATCCGATCTCTGTATATATATATATATATATATATATATATATATATATATATATATATATATATATATATGCTAACAGTCTTCCTGCTCCAATTGCATGCAATATTTTCTCCTGTACTTTTTTCTTGTCTTTTGTGCAATTCTCGAGCGGGCCTCAAAAGACATGCACGTCATAGGCATGCAGATAATTAGTTGTTAGTCGTAGAAACCTCGTACGTCAAACCGGTCGAGAGGTCGTATATATATATATATATATATATATATATATATATATATATATATATATATATAGTTAAACCTAGAGAGCCAGACAATCCTACCAAGGTTTCACCTAAACGAATCGTCAGAGAATGCCGACTAACAAGGTAGAGCAAGAACGTAATATATCGTCAATAAACAAAAAAAAAAAACAACAACAGCATAAACACGTGACAAAAAAACAAAAAAAAAAAAAAAAAAAACAAGAGGGTTTGGGGGTTAAGAAGGGAGAAAAACACGGATACAGAGAAAAACGGATACAGAGGGGCGGGACTATTTATTCAATCGAAAAATAAAATAAAATAAAAAATAAAATAAAAAATAAAATGAAATAAAATAAAATAAAAATTACTAGGAAGAGGAGACCTAGTCCAACAATCAACGTTTTTTTATGTCTACATTTGTTTAGAATTTCGTTTTAGAATTTAATAATTAATTAGTTTCCTTATATAGAGCTATAGTTAATTTTTCCACAATGTTTCTTATATTTATGAGATTTCTATTAATAATAATAATACATACATACACACACACACACACACACACACACACACACACACATATATATATATATATATATATATATATAATAATAATAATGGACTCTTCCGTCGGTTTCGATGTATGAGGATCTGCCAGTTTATTGATTCAGTTATGAAATTTTGTGCGATAATATTAAGTGGCATTTAAGACCCGCTAGTGATTTAAAAATGTGGCCACATATGGAGCAGGTGTGAGAACTGTGAGATGAGATCACTGTTAGATTGACTGACGTTTTAGATCTTGCTCTACGAAGATGATTCAGACAAGCAGATTGAAACACGTTAATTTCCATTCTACCCGCTTCAAAGCTAAGCGCTCAAGGGTGTTATGTGGTATATTAACTGCTTGCTTTTCAGCTTGTCTTTCTATCTAAGCATGGGCGTCCTACATTCCTCTAGCCCTGATCTAACTGGCTGTACATTAGGATCTTTGGTATCCTGTCATCAGAAATTCTCAAGACATGACCAGTAATATATATATATATATATATATATATATATATATATATATATATATTACGATCATTCTGCTGAATTCTGGTCCATATTTGATCTATATTTAATCCAATATATATAGATATATATATATATATATATATATATACGTTACGAAAAAATTACATAACATAAATAGACAACACTTGTCTATATTATTTAATGAAACGTGCATGAATATATATATATATATATATATATATATATATATATATATATATATATATTTTGTTTATTTGTGACCCTGGGTTTTTCTGACGATCGCAAAAGCGTGAAACCTAGGTCACAAACTCACATCAATCCAACCAAATATGTTAGCTCTATCACTGATATTGAGCGCTTTTAATAAGTAATTATGTATGAAATATATATATATATATATATATATATATATATATATATATATATATATATATATATATATATATATACACACACACACACACACACACACACACACACACACACATATATATACATATATATATATATATATATATATATCACTGAGTCAAATATAGATCAAATCTGGACCGGAATTGACAGAATGATTGGATAATGGCCTGTGCTCCCGTAGATCATATAAAGTATTTAGTTCGGAATTTCTAGAAGATTTTCCTTCATCGGCAAAAACGTTGCGAAAATAGCAACAAAATTAGAACAATAGTCTGCGTGGACATTAGGGAAATTTTAAAAATACATATTTAAAAATAGTAAACTTAATAAAATAAAAAGTCGAAATGGAAAAATGTGTAGAAAAGCATAATTAAGTGCAAATCGGCTAGAAGAATGAAATGAAGGAAAGAATAAATGAATGAAAGAAGAAAAAAGAATGAGGAATGAGAGAATAAATGATGGAAGTATGGAAGGAAGGAATGACAATGAATGATTGAAGGAAGAAAGGAAGGAAGTCAGGCAGGAAGGAATCATTGACTGAGAAAAGAAAGGAAGAAATGAATGAAAATTTTTAAAGGTAAAAAATAATTTAATGAAAGAAGAAAGGGAAAAATAAGAAAGAAGGAAAGAATAGAAGAAATAATTGAAGGAAGGTAGACTTGAGGGAAGGAAGAAATGAATAAATAAAAGTAGGAAGAAAAGAAAGAAAGAATGAAAGAAAGAATGAATGAATGCAATGAACGAAGAAAGGAAGGAAAGAATGAATGAATAAAGGAAGGAAAAAGGAAGCAAATCAGTGAACGAATACAAGAAATAATGAGGAAAGGAAGGAAGGAATGCAATGAATGAAAAATAGAAGGAATGAAGATAGGAAAGAATGAATGTAGGAAGGAAGGAATGCAATGAAAAAAGAAATGAAAGAATGAAATAAGGAAGAATTAAGGAAAGGCGGAAGGAAAGAAGGAAAGAAGGAAGGAATGAAGAAAGGAAGTAATGCAAGGAATGCAATGAACGAAGAAAGGCAAGAATGAAAAAAAAAGGAAGGAAAGGAGGGAGGAAGGAAGGAAAGAAAGAAAGCAAGAAAGAAAGAATGAATGAAAGAAAAAAGGAAGAAGGAAGGAATACAATGAAAGAAAGAATGAAGGAATGCATGAATAAAGGAAGGACGGAATAAATGAAGGAAGGAATGCAATGAACGAATGAAGAAAGGAAGGAAGGAATGAAGAAATGAAAAAGGAGCGAAGCAATACAAAGAATGAACGAAGGAACAAATGACTGAATGAATGAAAGAAGTAAGGAAATAAGAAATGAATGAACCAAAGAATAATTTAATGAATGAATGAATTACGGAAGGAAGGAATACAAGCAGATGATAAAAGAAAGAAGAGAAATGATTGAACCAAGGAATGATTTAATAAATGAATGAATCAAGGAAGAATGAACGGAAAGAATACAAGGTATGAATGAATGAATGCAGGAAGTAAGAAAGAAATGAATGAAACAAGGAATGATTTAATGAATGAATGAATTAAGGAAGAATGAACGGAAGGAATACAAGGTATGAATGAATGCACGCAGGAAGGAAGAAAGAAATGAATGAACCAAGGAAAGAAAGGAAAGAAATAAGGAACACAAAGAATACAAGGAATGAAGGAACGAACGAATGACTGAATGAATGAAAGAAGGAAAGCAAGTAAAAAATGAATGAACCAAGGAATGATTTAATGAATGAATGAATTAAGGAAGGAAGGAATACAAGGAATGAAGGAATAACTGAATGAATGAAAGAAGGAAAGCATGTAAGAAATGTATGAACCAAGGAATGATTTAATATATGAATGAATTAAGAAGAAGAAACGGAAGTAATACAAGGTATGAATGAATAAATGAATGAAGAAAGGAAGTAAGTGAATGAACCAAGGAATGATTTAATAAATGAACCAAGGAATGATTTAATCGATGAAGGAAGGAATAAATGAATGAAGGAAGGAAGGAAGGAAGGAAGGAAGAAGGAAGAAGGAAGGAAGGGAGTATTTGCCGCTGGAGCTTATTGATTTTAATCAATGACGCGAGCTTCCAGTGGAGGTCTCCAACAAGCCGTCCCACTTTCGCGTGTCTTGCCACGAAAAGTATATTTTATGACGCATCTGTCGATTTTATGTTCTGATCAATTCTATCTCATTTTTACTGTTCAGGCCGAATTCGGGCGGGAAACATACATTCCACCAGCCAGACAAAAGTCCGAACAGATGTCACCTGCACAAAGCAACGACGTACACATAACCCATACCAATACACACCTTTCTCTGCGTTACTATATTGTTTATCTCTATCTATTTTACTTTCTCCTTTATCTATCTTTCTATCTATCTGTGTATGTATGTATGTATGTATGTATGTATGCCATTCTGCATATTATCTATCTATCTATCTATCTATCTATCTATCTATCTATCTATCTATCTATCTATCTATGTCATTCTCTTCATTATTTCTCTTTGTACGTATCTATGTATCAATCTATTTTTCTATCTCACTCTCTTCATTGTCTATCTATAAATCTATATTTCTATTTCTATCATCTATTCATGTCATTATTCATCTCTATCAATCTCATTCATCTATCTATCTATCTATCTATTATCTATCATTCATCTATCTATATCTATGTCACTATCTATCTATCTATCTATCTATCTATCTATCTATCCATCATCTATCTATCTATCTAATGTATCATTGTCTATCTTTAAATCTATATTTTCTATCTATCTATCTTTCTTTCTTTCTCACCATCTTCATTCATCATTATCTATTATCTATCTATCTATCTATGTCACTATCTTATTCATTATCTATCTATCTATCTATCTATCTATCTATCTATCTATCTATCTATCTATATCATCCCATTCTTCATTGTCTATCTTTAAATCTATATTTTCCATCTTCATTTCTATCCATTTCATTTCCTTTTATCTATCTTCTATTTCTATTTCTCACATCCATCATTATCTATCTATCTATCTATCTATCTATCTATCTATCTATCTATCTATCTATCTATCTATCTCTTTTCTTTCTTCATTCTCACCACATTAGCTATCTATCTATCTATCTATCTATCTATCTATCTCATCTATCATTATCTATCTATCTATCTATCTATCTATCTATCTATCTATGTCACTCTCTTCATTATCTATCTATCTATCTATCTATCTATCTATCTATCTCTATCTATCTATCTATCTATCTATCTATCTATCTATCTATCTATCGATTTCGTATTGCGATAAACGTTATTTTTAGTGGGTATGTTTCAAAGTAATATTAGGAAGGATATATTTTACAAAGATTATATGAGCATCGCATAGATATGCTTCATAATAACTCTTTGAAGTTATTGGTAGTTCAGTGTAACAAATCTGGACACAATTTCGACAATAAATCCCAGCCTGGACAGAAGAGAAAAAAATTGACAAGGAAGGTAATGCATTGAGAGTTGACGGCGATAAACATAAGACCAGACTCATACGACGATCGTTGTAAAAGGAATGCTGTGTGTGCGAGTGCTGGTAGAGAGAGTGACTGGGATCTTCTTGGAGGGAGCTGGTTTCGAATCCAGCAGATATTGCCAGTTATAAGGAAAGCAAAAAATACACAGTTTCGTTCCTTGATTTCGATTGGTGAAGGCCTACACAGAAAACAGACAGTAACGATTTTAATGTAACGCAAAAACACACACACATACATATTTTTTTCATCCTTAACTGAAGACGTCTACATGACGAAGGCTAAACAGGTTGTCAATAAAAAGGTGTACCACGTTGATATATTTCCGCACGTTTGTTTGGATTAGATACTCTACTGAAGCTTATATATATATATATAATAAATTAACTGATTTAAAATGTTTTTTCGCTACACAGTTCTAACGATGTTTCAAAAATGGAAGCCTTATTTATATAGACATAAATATATATATATACGTGTGTGTGTGTGTATATATATATTATGAAATGGACTAAGTCCGAAAATTGTTTTAATATATTTATAATGTATTTATTGTTTAGACGTTATTTATATAGATACAAAGATTTAAGGAAATGCTCTGTTGAAAATAAACATTATTAACATTTTCCGGTATGAATGTCTGAAGAATTTTATAGGAATATGTGTAATTCGACGTTACCAACCAAACGCTTCCTCTGTAGCTAAATGTTATAGCACGTCAGGCTTTATGGCGGTTCCGTGTAGGATACAGGTTAGATTCTTGTCAGTGGACACATATTTTGTATGAAATTTCTTGATAAATGTTAATATTGTTTTATTATAAACGGATTATTTACTTAAATCTTTGTCTCTATAAATATAACGTCTAAACTATATATATATATATATATATATACTACTCGACTCTCCCCTCGAATTCGACGTATGAGAGCTAAGCAGATCAGTTCCCAGGAAACAGACATCCCAACAACATCACATGAGATTTGATTATAGTGGTGAAGGTTTCGTGCAGGACCATCCACACTTTTTGAAGGGACGAATACAGAGACCTGGTGCACTAAGTACCACAAGGTTCCCCAAACGACCCTCCGCAAGTTTTAAATTCAGAGTTGTCCTTCTCCTAGACTAGTTACCATCCAAGGCTATAGAATCCAGTCTGTCCTGCTATTTACCCATAGCTGGAGGGAGAAGAAGAGGATTCACCCCTTTTCCAAGGGAAATATATATATATATATATTTGGTTGGATAGATCACATCTATCCAACCAAATATGTTAGTTCTATCTCTGATATTGAGCGCTTTCTAATAAGTACCGCGCATATAATATATAAATAATTATACATATATATTTATATTTATATACACTTTTCACACACACACACACACACACACACACACACACACACACACACACACACACATATATATATATATATATATATATATATATATATATATATATATATATATATATATATATCATGGGAAACGGAATAAATGTGACGAATATTTAATTTTTTTTTCTGTTTATACGTTATTTTTATCGTTACATGTATTAATGTAAATGTTCTCTTCTTTAAATAAACATTATTAATTACATTTACCAGCGTAAATATTCGAGGAATTTCGTAGCAAATATGCGTTCTCTGGCAGGAATCGAACCTGCATCCTATGAGGAACCACCACTAAGCCTGTTGTGCTATAACTATGCAACCACGGAGAACATCCGGTTACGCAAAGCTAGAATTATATATATGATAGACTCTCACTGAGAGTGTTTGTGTCGTATGTGTCACTTTAGTCCCGATAGTGGTCTACGTATAATGCAACAGCGAAGATTTCGGAACATAACCCCGCGAATATTTGCTGTTGTTTACCGCCGTAGATGTACTTCATCTCTGAGCCGGTCAATATAACTGATTTCGGAACTTCTGATACCACCCTGCCCCTCTGGCACAAATATCTCCAGTTATTTCTCCAGGTTAACTCGCTCGAAATTAATATGAAACACATTGACAGCTGAGAGGTTACTCTTTAGCGTGTCTTTATACTTGAGCGACGCCCGTCCAATATTATTTTATGCACTGTCAAACTGGCTATACATGAAGGTATTCTGTCGTCACTCATTCTTGCAATATGACCAGACCATCGAATTTATAACTGCAACGGGAAAGTCTCAATTCCAACAAGGTTGCATTTTACGAGAAGATCGCCATTGGGCACCTATCGTCAAATGTATTGCGCCAGATACGCAAGGAGTCAGCTTTTGCGGAAGACATCCATCTGACTGTTATGGGACCCATATGATGTTCAAGATTCATTGACATAGAACAGTGTGGTCAACACACACACACGCACATGTGTGTGTGTGTGTGTGTGTGTGTGTGTGTGTGTGTGTGTGTGTGTGATAATAAATTTAATGGTCAGAGGTGAATTAGACAATGAAACAGTAGTATAAAAAGAGCCCAATGCGCATATAAAAAAATAAAAATTTAACATCTACAGCATTTAAGTATAAAACATTATAGGTTATATATATGTATATATATATATATATATATATATATATATATATATATGTGTGTGTGTGTGTGTGTGAAGAAATATAGTTTTAAGGTGTTTAATATCAGAAATAGAGCGTATGTACATATAAAAGTGAACACTGAAGTCAACACTCAGAGGTGAAAACGCTTTCACGCTAAGCGGAATCATCAGACCTACTTATATATATATATATATATATATATATATATATATATATATATATATATATATATATATATATATGTATGTGTGTGTGTGTGTGTGTGTGTGTGTATGTATATATATATATATATATATATATATATATATATATGCAATATATATATATTATTTATATATTATATATTAAATGGTACTTATTGGAAAGAGCTCAATATCAGTGACAGAGCTAACATATTTAGTCTGATTGATCCAGCTAAATATATATATATATATATATATTTATTAAAGACATATTTTATGTTTAACGTTGTTATTTTATATATATATAAAAATATGTCTTTAATAAATAAATTGTCGGACCTTGTCCATTTCTTATATATATATATATATATATATATATATATATATATATATATATATATATGAATTAAGCGAAAACGAAAACTTATCTTAGCCGACGTGTTTCGTCTTCTTAAATACTTTACGAAGAAAAGTACACGGATTTTATTCTCTAACAAGTATTTACATACAAGAGCAAAAATGTTATTGGTTTTTCAAAAACCTTTAAATTTAAGAAAGCTCATAAATATTCATCAGTTTAGCCAAAATAGTCAGGCTATGGAGAACGCGAAGGAACACATTTCAATGTCTAATAAACGAGAATGTGTAAGTGATGTTCATAATTTTTTTTCTTTATATAGAAGGACATACGTTGGAATAGAAGTAGATAGTTTCACTGGCTGTCCGGTTCATATACCTCCCCGGTTTTTTTATATAAGAGGAGGGGTTTATTTTTTTGTCCTCTGTTTAGGATTAGGTTTCAGGTTCCTTCTAAAGTCTTCACATTCTCGTTCACTCCCAGTAGCCCCTTGGTTGCGTAAGGTGTGTAGAGATTTTGACAGACAAGTACTTCCTGGAGCGGTAACAAAAACTGACCATTTCGCCATCGATGGATTATATATACGAATTCTAGTTGAAGACTGGGGTGAGCTTAAGTCTCAGTAAGTGTTCAAGGCAAGACCGACGCCCCAGATTTAATATTTTAGGGGATTTAATTGAAAATGTCATGGAAGCCAATTGTTGGTAGTGTCAAGATTGTGATAATTGTGGAGCTTTTTTAATTGGGAAGGAGACGTGTGAAATGAGAACTTTGTTGTATCTGAAGAGACGTCCGCAGCCATGTTATCGTAGCAGGGTTCAGAGGATGAAGAGCTGTGGCTTTTATTCAGGCTCTCTTTGTCTCTGCTATTTGGCTTCTGGTGTTTTCGAAGGATCTTTTTTCCTGTATTTCTCTTCTCCAATTGGTTCTTTGGACGTGAGCATGAAAGCATCGGTTGCGAATTGTTTGAGCTGGTTTATCGGTGACTACTCCAGAGCGCATAGCTGACGTCGTCCATTGCGGGAAACCCGGGCTTGACAGGCAGGTTCATAATGACAGCGAGCATCGCGCTGCCGACATGTTTTCGTATGGAGAACATTGCTTTGACTTTCTATTACCCTGGGGTGCAAAAGTAGGTATATAGTAATGAAAAACAAAATGTGTCTTCAAATGTATTCTAGAACCACTGGTTATACTGGAATACGACAGACAAGGTGCTTTTATTTAGTTTTTTATGCAATTTCTCATGCGATCTATTTTTTTTTCTTTTCGGATGATAAATTATATCAAAACTGTCCGAATATTCTTTTTATCTGAACGCTTTCTGCTATACATTTAGCCATTTTAAAGGATTAAATATTTTAACTGTTAAATAAGAAATAGTTTGTTGTATGTATGTTTTATAAAATGTTTTCATTTTTCAAAACACGGTCAAGACATTTCGTTAATTTTCAAAATTAATATTATTAAGTTTTGTTTTTTGGTTTTTATTAATAAGGCTTCCATTATTTTTAGCCTTTTTTGCCTGTAGATGATGCTATTATATTAGTGTTGTCAACAAGTATGTTACAAATAGTGTCCGGTAGGTCTCCATGAATATTTAAATGAGACCTAATTGAGCTATGGTCAGAAAGGTGTAGTGTGAGTCTGTGTGTCAAACATTTTGTAGTGTGGCCTATATAATTTTTTATGAATTTTGATTGATATATATATATATATATCAATATTTA